TAACGCAATGGCGTTTGAAGCGAACGGTACTGAGTTCCAGTCCCAGAGTGAACATCAACTCTGAGATGCAGGCACATCCAGCTGACGAGTCCCAAACAGGACGAAACGCGCGTCCTTGATTCCACTGCTAGTCACTATCCATCTTTGCTTATAAACAAGCATATTGTTTTTGTTTCATGTACTTTACGTAATAATAGACTTCATCTGTCTATGAGAACTTACCCCTTCGTTGGTTTATCCAAAATGATATAAATGTTCATTTTTATACAGTTCATTACCTGTAGGGTATAATTAAGTGAGAAAATGTAAAATTTCAACTTATGAGGTATAATTACTCAACGTTTTAGCATATATCTATGGGGTGAATTTCTTTAATTTGTAAAAGATTCGAAAATTTTCAAAACTACCATTCATCAGTATATTTTGACAATGTATAGATTGTGTCTTGATAGTGTTATTTATTCAGATAGAAGTTTGTTCTGATGATGTCGTTCAAAAGAACAACGAATGCTTCATGACAAAACCATCCAGCACAGAGAACAAAACTCTATCAAATCCATCTACTTCAGCTACAAATCTTCAACATCTCAAAATGTTATTTATTTACACGTTGTATTATAATTTGAATTGTAATTAACAACAGAATGCAAAATGTTAGTTTCTCCCTATTTGGAACTTATCAGCTGGCTGTACCTATGACTGACTGATGAACCCATTTATATGTCTTTGTATGTTCATATCTATTGAACAAGTTAATAGGAATCTAAATTTAGTAGATTGATAAGTAACATATTTGCTTTTTAATTGATTGATAGTGAATTCGCATCTTAGTGCAACCATAAATGCTTAAATGCAGCTAAATGCAACTGACGAGCATCAATCAGGACGAAACAGACAGTCTGTATCCAACTAATAGCCACACTTCAAATTTACCACTTAATATTTGTTCATTTTTTGTTGCTAAGGTGTAACAGTGTTTAATGATGGTTTTACACTAAAATATATAATCTGGAAATATTGATTTACCTATTTATTATCTTTTGATACACATGCTTACTATGGTATTTCTAATAAAAATGTAAGCGATAATGGTAATATTAAAAGAAACAAATTATGTAATAAGTAAGCAATAACGAGTTTTCAAATAAAGCTTAACCTTTAGATTAATTCCATATTATATGAGATTGAATGTGGAACGGATTGTTGTCCAACGTAGTAGGAAGCGTTATTGCACCTACTGTATTGAAGGTGAACATAAGTGAGGGCAACCGGATCGTTACATGGTAAAATTAAAAAAAAACCATACAGTAAATCGTTAATTTGCAAAATATTAATGCATCATATCAACCTGAACTGTTTCTGTTGCAAACATCAATCCATTGTCTCAAATTTCATTGTTCATGCGTTTCCTTACAATTTACATTGTGTTTCTGCTCTTTCTTTCTTGATTTTTCCACATCTGCTGCCAGACATTACATTCCTGACTCGCATAATATACTACTTATACCAATATAAGTAGCACGCACCACACTACTAATAGAAAGGATCCCGATAAAACTGAAGAGTATAATTTTTAATCGTTTCTCATAAATGTAAAGACGAGGCTATAATTTATAGACGAATCAATCAGGTGTAAGATAATAGGTTTTGGGGATTTTGGCGCGAAATTCATTTATACATTCGGCTAAATAGAGTTTTGTCATTATGGCTTATGGCAGTTCGTGATGAAAACCCCAAATTTAATTTCTAACCTTAACCATCAACTGTAAATCATAATTGTAATTCTTCCCATTGGTTTATAACCCTCATTTGGTCCTAGTTACTAGATGAAGACTCTAAAGGTCACTTTGGTGTCACTCAAAGGTTGTCCATAATTTATAGACTCACCAATTAACCATTTACTTGTGAAAAATTTAAAGTTTTCTGTATTTAACTGTATTAAATTTACATTTATCTGGCAAAATAATGTCGTCTTCCCTACTGCTGCAAAACTTCAAAGGTAGATTTAATGTAATAATGATGTGAAAAATATATGTAATCATTTTCATTGCATTCTATTGCATAATAGTAACTCTCGTACAATCAATGTCGATGATGGTTAATTTTCGTTAAGCCCTTTTATTAGCTTACTTAATAGATAGTGTTATTTGAACAGTAACAGTTTGTCTGTTTCTTTGTATTATTATGATCACCATCTTGTATGTATAAACGTGTACGCTTGACCACATAACAGCTTATGCGCAAATCTCTTTAGCCTCTGTATTTGCTCGCACACACACACACACACACACACACATTCGCCCTTCTACTTCAAATTCGCTCAATGTGCTTGTAGCTTTGTTATCCGTGCTATTCGCAAATAAACTATAGTTGCTGCTTTTTATTGCCCTCTGATTTAAAACACCATTGGGATTTATATAATAACGGTTATCAAGATGATTGATTCACGCTACAATATAAGTAGCCAATAAGTACTATAAAAAAAATAACATAAATTTACAATTCATTGTTTAATTACTTAATGAGTTTGTTTGTTTGTTTTTTGTTGGTCATTTTAAGTTTATATTGTACCACTGTTTTGTTGTTCGCTAGTTTTCTTTTCAAGTTAAATACTCATTATTCCATTTTGAATAGTCTCGCTTTTCTTTAAATACAAATCACTGTTATTATCATAGAACCTAATTATGATAATAACAGCCCCAATGGGTTGATGTCTGAAAAAATCTCAGCACGGATTCGAAAAGCTCGTTCGGCTTTTGCCAACTTACGTCACCTATGATGAAGGCGAGATATCCGTTTATCAATTAAGAGACAAGTATACTGCGCGACAATTCGTTCTGTTCTACTTTACGGCTGCGAAACATGGCCATTAAGAGTAGAAGATACTCGTAAACTACTGGTATTTGACCACAGATGCCTTAGAAATATTGCTGACATCTGCTGAGACCACCGGTTAAGTAATAGTGAGGTTAGACGCAGGGTATTAGGAAATGGTGGTAAATCAGTTGATGAGGTTATGAATCTTCATCGACTGAGATGGTTGGGCCACGTGTTACGTATGCCTGAACACCGACTACCACGACGTGCAATGCTATCCGGTATTGGAGATGGTTGGAAGAAAGTTAGGGGCGGCCAAACCAGAACGTGGCATCAGTGCTTGAAGTCACTTATTTCTAGTCTTAGCCATGTTGGTAGATGCAGACTACTTGGTTGGGATCCGCGTGACTACCGTACACATTGGTTTGAGACTCTGTGTGACATGGCTCAGAATCGAACACAATGACATTAGTATATACACTCTGTGTCTTCCCTTAAATTATGAGAATAAGATATTTTAAGGAATAATTAGCAATAAGGAATTTATTTTATAGGTATTCAAGTAATTCTCAGTAAATATTAGGTATAGTGTTTTCAATCTAATAATGTTATACTCTATAACTTTTTTTAATTTCTAAATTGTAAACTACAATAACAGAAAATAATGATTTATTAACAGAAGGGGGTTTTGTGGAGATTTATACCACCATGAAGAATCTTGAATCACTGGAAAGACGTTTCGTCACGGTATGGGACTCCTCAGCGGTGCGTATAGATGATTCTGCTCGAGAGATTCGAATTTCGGACCTTCAGTCTCGCTCTAAACCACTGAGCCGTCATCCAATGGTGTCTAATTTCAACTAATCCACGAAACGGCTGTCCAGTGCTTCCAAGTTTTTCATGGTGGTCTAGCTTTAATTAATTCATGAATTCAACTAGTAAATAAAAATAATGATCTAAACAAACTGACAATGTTATCTTGTTCATTGTTTTCAAATAATAAGCAGTCTTGTTTGAAAATGGAAATTCCTTTCTCATTTAAATGATAAGCAAAAGAAAAACAGAAAATGAATAATATCAGTGAGTGAAAAAATGTCAAGATATTGCGAGATAAAAAAGTAAAGAACATTAAATCAGAATCTAAAAGATAAGTATAGTCACTTGTAGCTTCGTGAAACCTTTGGTTTGTAAACACTAAATTTCTACATGCTCGTTACAACTAGTTGGGGCACGTTGGTTTACTTCGGTCAGTTACAATTTTGACGATAAGCGTAGATTAATACGTAATGAATTTATGTAAAAGTTTGCGTAAGAACCTGATAACTGGAGTATGCTTACGAGTCGGAAGCAACAATGGAATCCGATAACTGCTAGGAGCTCTTTTAACTCATCTAAGTCACTGACAACAACAAGACCGCTGTGTATGAAACGATCAGTGAAACTGACTGGAAGCCAACCAATAGAATCCACTGACGTCTTGAACGATGAAATTTTTTGATGAACAGCTCAAATAACCTGTTCTCTGGCGATATCGTTCAAATTGTTTTGTCCTACTTCACTAGTGTCGATTTATTCACTTAACGAGGAAGAAATCCTCAAGGAACTTTAATTACTGAAGCGCTGCATATCACTAAACTAATATGACTTACTTTCGACCCATTTTAACGATGCTAGCAATCTTCTGGTTTTGAAACTGAGTTGTTTTTAAACAGTTGACAACCAATGTCATACATAGCATCCTGGAATAAGCCAAGAGATATCCCTGTCTTTAAAAAAGGTTTACGTTACCTACACAACAACTATGGGGGGGGGGGGTAAGTCTAAGATAAAAAAAATAAAACAACCCAATATGATGTGTACCATTTTTCTTCTAAATTTAACAAGATTTACAGTCATATGGTATGTATTTTTACAAAAATAGATAGTCATTGAAATGCAACATGTCGTAAGTTGATATTAAGTTCTTTTGGCAAATTATCAAACACAAAGTAAATGGCTTCATTAAATAATGAAAATATAGTTTACTAAGGGTCAATGTGAAACCGTTTTTTGTTTAGTTTGAAAGTTGGAGTTCCGTATTACAAACTGATATCAGCTAAACAGAATAAGATAAAGATTATGTATGAGGATTACATGTGACTCCCAATTTAAACTATGAACGCTTTTTCAATACTGTTGGGTTTTTAACTGTTGTCCAGTTGATTATGATCAGAAATTCTAGCAATACTCTGTAACCAATAGATTTCAACCGTGTTGTGAGTCAGGCAGATTTTATCGACAAAATATGATGATGATGATGATGATGATGATGATGATGATGATGATGATGATGATGATGATGATGATGATGATGATGATGATGATGATGATGATGATGATGATGATGATGATGATGATGATGATGATGATGATGATGATGATGATGATGATGATGATGATGATGATGATGATGATGATGATGATGATGATGATGATGATGATGATGATGATGATGATGATGATGATGATGATGATGATGATGATGATGATGATGATGATGATGATGATGATGATGATGATGATGATGATGATGATGATGATGATGATGATGATGATGATGATGATGATAATGATGAAGATGATGATGATGATGAAGATGATGATGATGATGATGATGATGATGATGATGATGATGATGATGATGATGATGATGATGATGATGATGATGATGATGATGATGATGATGATGATAATGTTGAACCGCTGCATTCCAATTTAGCGATTCGCAGATATTACAGTTTTATTTGAAAGCGAACACTAAAGTTTTAGTCCTTAGTAGAATTGTTGTTGTGAATTGATAACAAGCTCCTAATTACAAATATACTATTTGTAAAAGTAGCTAACATTTAATGAACTCTACAACTAATATCGTTTTAGGATGAGAAAAAACTTCAAATGTAAAATTATTAAACACCTGAAGGTTTAGGTTGCCTTTTCAATCAAGTTTGGAATTTTTCCGAGTGTACTCTTTCATTATAGCGACACTTTTGAATGAATAAATCATAGATCTTCGAATTAAAGATACTGAATTGCTTATTCAAAGAGTCTTATCCTTGCATCTTAGTGAGTATGTATCGAAATGTTTAACGAGAAAGAAGTCAACTATTATAACAGCATCATCATCTCTCACTAGTACAATATGATAATCATATTTAAATAGACGAAGCTTTTTTAATTTACTCTCGTTTCCCCACAATTCTACGTAAATTAGTAAGATGACGACTATATTTGAAGATTAAACATCAAACGTCTCTACCCTAAAAATGTACATTTAATCCCTGTGTTTACAATGGTTCAAGATTACGTCACTTCATAAATAAGCCACGTATTATAAACCTTCATCTGTTTAATCCCTTTTTATTTTAATTTGACCACTGTCCCATTTTTTTATTCGTATATTCATCTTTCCTAGTTTACTCAAACATCTTATCATTATTACCGTAACACAAGGTTTCTTATTAAAGATCAAATTACAAAATGGTCATCCAGTGTTTCCAGGTTTTCAATGGTGATCCAACTTAGATCGACTGATCATTTCAAATCAGAAGGGTTCTTGTAGATACCATAGTAATTTCAATGGTTGACATCATGAGTCACTAACACTGTTGAATGCCAACCAGCTCAATGGTCTAGTGGTTAAGTGCTAGCGTGTGAGACTTACAGGTCTTGGGTTAGAATTTCGCAAGGCGGAATCATGAATGCACTATTCTGGGGAATCCTACAATAAGACGAAACGGCAATCCAATGCTTCTACGATTTCCATAATGATCTATCTTCAATTAACTCATGATCTCAACCACTGAAATAAAAATTATAATTCTAATCCCCCACAATAACTTCTCCTGAAGTCCCTCCGGTGGCTACTGCCGGTCCCAAGCTCCGATAAATGAGGACGGTTGGACATGGAGTCAGCGACCCCATCCCATAGAAAACTAACTCGCTAAGAAAACGCTAACCAGAAAAAATTATTCGAACCTTTTAAACTCTGCCCTGGGAGTCAGAAGGTCTTCATTTAGAAGAGTTATGGCGCCTCATGATGAAAGCCAAGTTCCTTCGGAAGTCACCAGTCCGATGCCCCTTCTGACAACCAGAGTAATCATTTATTTAAGTACATGGAATACTCGTACAATGTGGGAGACCGGGAGAGTCTTCCAAATCGCTGCAGAAATGAGAAGATACAAGCTAGAGGTGCTTGGCATCAGTGAAACACATTGGACGCAAGTTGGACAACAACGACTAGCTTCAGGGGAGGAGGAAAGCACCCAACTGCGTCACAAGACAAGCCCTTACATCGAATCCCGAAGGCCAAAGGAAAAGAGGAAGACCAAAGAACATATTATGCCGTGAAATGGAGACAGACATGAGAAAAATGAACAAGAATTGGATGGAACTAGAAAAGAAGGCCCAGGACAGAGTGAGTTGGAGAATGCTGGTCGGCGGCCTATGCTCCATTGGGAGCAACAGGCGTAAGTGAGTAAGTAAGTAAGTTATCCCCCACAATATTTCATAACCTTCATATGGTCCTATTTATTAGATGAACACTCTCAAAATCATTTCAACGTTTCTCAAATGTTATCCAGAAATTATAGTCACACTAAATTTTTTCTTACCCCACTCTATTAAAAACAAATTTTCACTTCTAATGTTATATAATTAAATGAAAAGACAAACAATAAGGTCTGAAACCAGGTTGAAACTATTGATAAACTAATTTCAATATAAATGAAATGAAAATTTTTTAATGTTTTCTTTTCTTGTTTATTTTTCTAAATGACAGATGTTTATGGAAATGAATTTATTAATTAAGCATAGTGTTTGAGTTTTTTGTTTTTCTCTTTTACCTTGGATAATATGTAAACAAAACAATAGAACAGAAAAATAAGTAGTTACTTAGTATTGGTCTAAGTAAAAACTAGGAAAGAAATGATAGATAGTGATTAGCAGTGCAATCCAGTTTGACGCGCGTTTCGTCCTATTCGGGACTCGTCAGCTGGATGTACCTGCGCGTCCTGGATTCTACTGTTAGTCACTATCCATCATTGCTTACAAAAAGCTTGTGAATTAAGGCAATATCGATCCATACGCACAGTATGCACATATGCCAATAACAGACTGATCAATTGCAGTCTTAAACCTCAATGAGAAGATACAAGCCAAACAATACCAAGTGAATTCATATTATAATTTGTTTAAATCTATAGAAAATTTATCTGTACATTTAATACTATCTACATCTGATCAGAATAATTATGAATAAATAAAGGATCAAGAATCAAATCAATAGGTGATACAATCGAAAGTATGAAGTGAACAATGACAGATTAGATGTCAATAATAACCAATCAACATCGAGGTCTACAAGACAAACTGTAAGCTATATGTGGAGAAATTCGAGCACTTCACTTTCACCTAAAATTTGTGCTGATGATGTCGTTCAGAAGAATAATGAAAGCTTCATTACCAAGCCATCTAGATCAGAGAACAAAACTCAATAATTCAATGTATTTTCAACTTTATTCTTCTATGAATGTTTTGTATCAGATGTGATTGATCTTGGAGTAAGTCATTCTTTCGATCTGTTTCGAAGTTTTATGCTATATTCATTCCTTAGAAATATTTCTGCTTAACTTACTATATAGAAGGGCTAAATATTGCTAAGATTACCATATATTTATTCTAGTAGTTTGTCGATTCCTACATTTTAGCTATTCTGATAACATTGTACTCTGTTGTATGATACAATGAATACTATGAGTATGGTAACAGTTGATTCTAATATGAACATGACAATCAATGATTATTTGAAATCTTGTAAATCAATCTTATCACTTGCGAACTTTTTGTGATAAACCTTGAAATAGACACAGTAGAACTGATTGTTCTAAAGAAAGGGAAAAACATTCTACAATATCTTATCTAAAACACTATTTGAGTAACCGCTGTAAGAAAAAAGAACAAAAATCATTCTTTGAATCAATAAAGAATACATTTTACTTAGTGTGAGAACGTTGAAGATACTATACTCTCTGAGCTGAATGATTTGGTTATGAAACTTTGATAGTTATTCTGAAGAGCATCGTCAGCATTTACTTTAAAGTGAAACCTTTTTTGAACTTATTGGATTTATACATATTAGAAAACCGAATTCGTCTGACGACTTTGAGTATAAAACATACAGATAGCTCAAACGTCACACAACATGAAAGTCAGAATCTTTAATACAAATGTCAAGACAGTTATACTGTACACAGCTCAAAATTCGAGAACTACTACAACCATCATCAAGAACGTACAAGTATTTATCAATAGTTGTATACGCGAGATACTCAACATTCATTGGACGGATACCATCATCAACATCCTTCTATGGAAGAGAACAAACCATGTTTCATCTGAAGAGGAAATTAGAATAAGACATTGGAAGTGGATAGGACATACATTATGGAAATCATTAGACTGCATCACGAGGCAATCCCTAACTTGGAATGCTGAATGATAACGGAAAAGTGGAAGACTGAAGAACACACTGCGTCGGGAATTGGGAGTAAACATGAAAGGGATCAATAGCAGTTGGAAAGAACTGGAAAGGTTCACCCAGGGCAGTGTTGGATGCAGAGTGCTGTTGAGCGGTCTATGTTCCTTGACGAGGGGTAACAGGCGTAATTAACAAAGTAAGTGCCCTTGTATATAAACATTGACTTAAACGGAGTTGGTGAATGACGGAACTGCATAGGTCCAATACGAGGATAGATTTTTGAACACGTATATCTTTTACACTCGTTGATTTGGATAGACAATTAGAGGGACGAAACGAAGGAAGCGACTAAAAGAGTGCGAATCGTTCTGAAAATCAATTAAACTCAATTCAATTTACCTTGTTCTCAACAATTTACTGAGTATTTATAAATTAAGCAAATTATTATATCAGGTTAACTAATTAGAATTTGGAAAGCACACTCTAAGAATATGGCTAATGAAGCAATTTAATAGTAAGTAGTATATTCAGAAAAAATAAATTATTCATTATCCAAAAATGACAACCTTCATATTAACATGATTTGAATTTGATAGAATATTTATGAATATCAGCTAATAATCATCTCTATCATCAGGTTATTGTCTTATCTAAATGTAAATAGTACAAATGTAGTGAACGAAAACACAACTGAAGACGATCAATTTTATTACAGAATCTCATAATAAAATCTGACAACCATACAGTAGATACTTCATTTGCAAAATGTCAGTCAATCATATCATACTTCATTGTTTCTTCGCTCCCACACTAATCATTCCCTGTTCTCATTCTCTTTCCTTCGATCTTTTTAACTTTCTACAATCAAACATTTCACTTTTGGTTGATGATACATACTACTTATATCTGTCTATATCAGTAGCATACACTACATATTCACTTTTGAATTGAATATTTCATCCGTTGAACTTGAAAATACGTTATTCGAATAATGTTTCTTTGTTTTAACTGAAAATTGTCACTTCATGATTACTTACTTACTTACTTACGCCTGTCATCCCTCGTGAAAAACCATGGCACTCTCCATTCAACTCTGTCCCAGGCAAATCTTTCCGATAGTTATACATTTGTTGATATCTGCTTCTGTTTCCCGACATGATGTGTTCTTTGACTTCCCTTCAGTATTCCAAGTTAGGGATTGCCTCGTGATGCAGTCTAATGATTTCCG